GGCACAGGTGCTCCCGCCATCCCCTCCCTCCCTCCATCCCCCCCAGCACCCTGCCAAGAATTTGTTCCCTCTTGCCCGGGGTTGACATCACCCCTTTATCGCTCCTCGCTCCAAACGTCTGCGGCATCCGGGAGGTGTTGGCCGCGGGGCCCTGCCCTGCCCATGAGGGCTTTCGCTGGGTTCTTCCTCCTGCCCCACGTAGGGACCCCCTTCCTGAGTCCCTTTCGGGGACCCTCATCCCCTCCGCTGGCACCGTCCCTGCTGCACCCTGAGCTGGGTGCCACCGTGCCCCGGGCTTCCTCATCCACAGGGCGCTCCCGGGATGGACCCGGGATGACTGTCCCCAAGCAGCAGAGCCAGGATCAGTCCCCGCTGTGCGCACTGCGCCCGGTGGAGCCTCCCCATGGCGCGGCCGGGCTTGACCCCCATCCCGCACCCGGAGGAGCTGGATCCGAGGCCGCAGCGGCGGCGGTGAATCCTGCCGGGGCCAGAAGGCAACACCTCTGAGCAAAATGTCAGCCGTGTTTAGCTTGGCATCCCAGGCAGGATTTGAGCTTGAGCCTACGGAAACAAGCAGCTCAGCATGTTAATCCGCTCGGCCTCGGCGCCCCGGCTCCCCTCCGGCTGACAGTGCCCTTGAGCCCCGTGCCGTCCCAGGGCTGGGAGGTGACGGCGGTGACAACCCCGTCTTGACGAGGTATCTCGGACAGGGCGGTGGGACGCACGGCCCAAAAGCTTTGGGTGGGGGAGGTGGGATTCGGGGAGCGGTGGCAGGGCTGCGGGGGGCACACAGGGTCCCCAGGCAATGGCCTGCAGAGCTGGGGAAGGGACGATGCTGCTCCGGGTGTCCGACACAACTGATGGGCTCCTGGCTGCCTCCGGGCTTGGTAAGAGATGGACAGTCCCCCAAAGATGCCCCACAGTCGCCCTCGTCCCCACGGCTGACCCTGGGGGAGCTGGTCCATCCATCAGAGGGATGCTCGGTCCTGGGGTAACCCCTCTCTGGCTTCCACGGGTGGGGATCCTCCGGGTCCTGGGTGGGGGGGGCCACGGAGGGAGCAGCTCCCGGGGAGCTGTCGCTGTGCCCAGGCACCCACCGGGCTCCGGGCAGCTTTGCACAGGGCTTCTTCAGCTGCACTTCTCACCACTGAGGTTTTGCGGGTCTGTGCTGGTCCTCTCCCATGGTGCTTGGCTCAGGGATGAGGATGCTCCGTTTGTAGCTCAGGGATGAGGATGTACAGCTTGTGGTTGAGGGATGAGGATGCTCCGTTTGTAGCTCAGGCATGAGGATGTACAGCTTGTGGTTGAGGGATGAGGATGCACAGCTTGCAGCTAAGGGATGAGGATGCTCGTCTTGTGGCTCAGGGAAGAAGACGCATGGCTTGTAGTTCCACAACTCATGGATGAGGATGCCCAGCTTGTGGTTTGGGGATGAGGATGCTCACGGCTTGGAGATGAGGGTGCATGGCCAGCAGCTCCATGGCTCAGGGATGAGGAGTCATGGCTCACAGCTCAGCTGGGGAAACCACTCCTGTGTTGCATCGGGGCGAGTGCTGCGGGCCTGTGCCACCAGCCCACCATCACGTCCCGT